TACTACATCGCTGATGGTTAGGGACAAGCTACAGAAGCAGAATTGATAAAAAGCGCAATATTTTTTAGAAGATGAAATAAATGAAACGAGGATTTAATAAACCAACAGGAGAGGACAAATCTACAGATGTGCGAGTTCCTTGCTCCTGTGACAGGAATAAAAGATGGCCGAAGAGGCGGGGCGTGAGCACGTACGTGCGATTTTGGGGAACACAGTGGGCCTCATCGTCGCTGTTGGATTTCAAGAAGGTAGTGTGACGCAACGTTTGTAAGAAATACCAGAGGAGCTATATTCCATTGGACCCGGCGTTTTTGACGGATTACCCCTATTATAAAATCATTACTTTCAGCACTTAAGCATGGAAACTAGTGACTGCTGTTTATGGATTGGAAAGTCATTTGAGGTACGGGTGGTCATTTTGTGGTACAGCCGCATAAGCTCTTCCGCATGCGTACCCAAAGAAGCCAGACCTAAAACAATAGAGATGGAAGAGAGGAAGAAGCAATAGAGGAATTTGCTCCCGTCGGGTCAAGCTCTAATCTGTCGACTGGTCGTCTGACATGCAGTGCTATAGTGCCTGTGTGTGGCTATAATGGGAGGGAACAAGACTGAGATAATAAATATTGTGTGGGGTCCATTTGTTAGGGCATTGTTAAGGCATTCGTCAGAAAAAACTCGTAAATCTGCTGATCAGAGCAGGCGACCGCTAGAAGTGTCCTCCAGAGTAGTTGAATTGGACTCAGCTAACTCGTGTCGACACTCCGCCGCCGTCGAGAGCGAACCCTAGAACCTTCCTGTCAACGTTGATGACGAAGCGAAGGTATTGCTGCTGACCTTTGGCGGTATCGATTTATTACAACTTCATTCTACAACAGGGAACCGGAAGAAGTTTGTGGCCTTTGCATTACGTCATAATCAAAATCTTCTGACAAAGAAGAAATTCAATAAATGTAAATCATCGGACGCATGTTCAGTGCGTCGATCTGATATTATTAGTCAGAGATGGCAAAATTGCCGTTCGTCGTGTTTCATTAACGAGTCAATTCGAATGGCACCAAAAAGTATTTTTTGAATTTTCAAGAGTGACCCTGCATAACAAAGAAAATTGAATAATATGAAATGTGTACTATGAAAACTCTGAGGTGTCGTGTCCAGCGAATATTTTATTTGTTGCACAAAAATGGAAGTGTCATGCGACTATTTCTAGGAATCGGAACGCAATTCTGTCAACATGAGCGACGGCGGAGATTCAGAAGCTGCAGAGCGCCTTCCGGGGCGCGCAGTTGCCCCCGAGGGCACAGCGGCGCGTCGACGTTCGAAAATACGCGTAATGATTTAATGAGATGGCCTGCGACGACAGTGCACGATTACATAAACATTCTGTACTTGAATCTATGCTTCTGAGGTCAAAGCGGTAACTGAATTATTTGTTGCTCACATTATGACACACATGACGTGTGTTTTTAAACCCGATATGGCTCACTTTGCAAAAGGGTCGCTTAAATGAAAGGGGGCTGCTGACCGTTTGGCAAATCATTGTAGTGTAATGACATCAGCGTAGTAAGAATATAGAATAAAGAATTATACATATGGAATATAATGTCTATTCATAGATGCCTTGAAGGTTTATAGTCCATAAAATGATCAAAGTAAAGATAACGAACCTCTTAAATTTGCTGAGAACCGTTCTTTAACGGTGACCTGAAGCTCATTATTGTCTGTGAATTGTCGACTTTAAAGACCTTTCAGGAAGACTAAGACTACGCAGAAAATATGACCACTGCAGGGATTTCGATGGTAAGTCTTCGAATCTCCCTCACATAGTCTTTGAGGTCTCATATTGAGCCGCTGAATCTGAATCGGATCATAGGTCTCTCATCAGGTTTTGAATAAAACCCAAAAATAGGTCAAATGTCAAAAATCTCTTATCGGAGATTCTACCATAGCCCTGTTGCTAATTATGTAATACCACATACACAAAGTAACTTTTTTTAATGCATTTTGAATCGTTGAAACCGAATCCGTCATCAGAATTGCCCCAAAGAGTCCCAGTTGTCCGTAAAATAAAAAATAAGTCATAATAAAAGGAAAATCATTTTCATTCTGGATTTATCCTGAATAATTTGTATTCTCTTAAGAAACGCCAAGTTGAATTCAGCCGTTTTCCACCGGTCGCCTACTCTGATTCATAGTTTTTCGTGATTTCTTCGAGTAACACCAAGCGGATGAAAAAGCAGTACCGTAACAAACGGACTACTCATGACCTCTTACACACAGACACGCTAACAAGCACACACACACACACGCATAAAACATTCACCTCACTTACGTAACTAACGACCATAGCATTTGACGTGCCTGGAAACATCAATTAATTTATTAATAGTTGCGTATGGGTCACTACTGACCACGCGCAACACAATTCTCTCTCCGAAGCTCAGTTGTATTCTATTCTGGAGAGATCATTTCTTCAATTCAATCTATTCTGGTGTGGAACTATGGGGATCAGCCTTTCGGCTGCATCCCTTGGATGAGACAAGGTTGTCAGCCTTGAATATCAATTAGGGGGGATATGATAATGTTGTAGTTGTTGTTGGTATTATTTATTATTATTACTATTATTATTATTATCATTATCATAAGTTAATGATGGAGGTGTTCGTGAGCTTTTGAAACCATCGCCTTGTGACCGAGGGAAACCACGAAAACCCCGGTCAGGGTTGCCGGCCCGGGGATCGAAACTGGACCTCCCGATTGTGAAACCAACGCGTTGAACCACTTCTCTCGGTTTAATACATTTTTTATTATTGTATTACACTAATGTAGTACGTATACACAAAATATTTGGGTCAAATATGTAAGAAATTTCAGAATTCATTCAAATTAAGCTCTCAATATCAAACATAAACTTTAAAAATTGATTTTCCAAATTCTTTCCAACTAGATGTTGATCATTATAATTTTGCTTTCATTTACGATATAGAAAAATCCAACTTTTCAGAGTCACGTATTTACGAAACGTGTATTTCTGTAGATAAATCAGCACTTTTTATTGCAGGATTACAAACTTTTCTCTTACTACATAGCTGATTTGTCTCTATTAAAATAGCCTTTTAATATAGAACAACACAGATATGTTTAAATTCTAATTCAAAGTTTCTAATATGTTCTAATTCAAAGTTTTGTAAATCTCGAGGAGGAGTGCCGATTTTTCAACAGAAAGTACGTTTTGTTGGTCCCTAAAACCGAAGAAGTGGATCTTTCTGGCTGTAGTAAAGTAGTATCTAGAATATGTAGACCACTGTAGAAATTATGACCACTGATAAAATATAAAATTAGTTCACGGGCTTGGTTGATATGAAGCGTAGTCAGAACCCTTGTTTTGTGAGTCCTTCATATAGAAAGAATGTTTTATTCGTCCGTCCTTCCCCCAAAATTTTTCAAAATTAGTTCTCCAAAATTAGATATTTAAATAATCTCATGTACATTTTTTATTATGAGTATATATGGCGTTATTTTGAGATAAATAGGACAATATAATAAAAAGTACGTAAACATTTTTTTAGAAAAAAGTTCAACTCAAAATATAAACATAAGATAGATAGATAGACACGGGCATATATTGCTATGCGTTGGGAGCACTTTTGTGTGCTCAACTAGTATTAAGGCGGCTCCACACATTCGGCGTTCGCCAAGTTGCGAGCGAAAGCTCGCCCAATCTCGATGCTCGGCGAATGTTCGTTTCCTTTGATGAGTGCAAAAGACCGACACGCGGTGGGTAGGGCGAGCACCGAATATTCGTTGCTCAACAAATAGCAACCGACCCATCCAAACTACGCGGGATACAGAGAGCGGACGCTCGCCACTCGTCGAATACCGAATGTGTGGAGCCGGCTTTATAGTACGTCCATTAGGAAAAATGTTCTGTTGTAATACCACTAATTTTCGTGAGGTGAATCTGTAATGAGATCTGAGTTACTGGTTAAGAATGGCTTCACAGCCATTGAAGGAGGTTCTTTACCCAGGGTATACATCTCGTGACTTCCTCGAGCAGATATACTCGTATAAACCTTTAATTCGAGCGATTTGATTTGAGCGACTCATATAATCTGATTTCTTTATTCTCCAAAACAGTAAAGAATTTATGTGACGTATGGGGGGAGAAATAATTAATATATAAATAAAGTAAATAAATAAATAAATAAATAAATAAATAAATAAATAAATAAATAAATAAATAAATAAATAACATCAAAATAAATAAATAATAAATAAATATAAATAAATAAAATAAATAAATAAATAAATAGAAAATAATAATTAAAATAAATAATAAAAATAAATAAATAAATAAATAAGTAATCCCTTAAAGCGGAAAAACAGACAAAAGCCTCGATATCAGATGGGAGCAATTGTTACAGCCATATTTAGTATTTAAATTACATGTCAATGTTAATCAATGCATTAAATATATTATTTAAACTAAATATTACTATACTCTGTTTTGGTGCGTGAGTATATACCCTGTACTTTATAGAATTGCAGAAATATTTTACTTGCCTTAACTTATTTTGTATCGATAATGCCATCTAGCAATGTGGTGTAAGTAAGTAGTATTTATGTGGATTTCGGATATGTGATGTATTCGAGCTGTTAATATTGGACACCTGAATGACATATTGTTCCTGCCACTGTGTTGTAATTAGAAATATATACATTGCAGAATATATTCGCCACTCTTGAGAATGGTTTGATATACACTGCGTATTCGTTAAATAAATATGCCATGGCAAGTGTAGTGAGCTTTTGCCATATTATTACTCTATATGTTTTTTGAAATTTTAATACCCTGGATATTATAGTATGTATTTCCCAATTTATTATTCCATATAATTGGAAATTTCATTGAGAGCATTTTTCTTTGAACAATTTGAGTTCGCACTAATTTGCTATTATTACTTGTGTGCATCAAAAATAATTATTCAATGTGTTTGTTTTAGGTGGAATGTGCTCATCTTTGATGTAAAGCGAACACGATTCCTTTCGTTAGATTTTCGACGTAGCTGAGGCCGCTTTTACTTACAGGACCTGCGGGTGTGGCGAAAAGTGGCTGGAAATTGCCAGGGTAATATAGTATCTTATTGCTGAAAATGTTGACTCATTGTAAATTAAAATTTTAAGAAGTAATTAATTGAAGATTATATATTGCTTTGAAAAATTATATTTATTTTAATACTACTTCTCTATAACAGGGTTGCAACACATGAGAGCAAAGTTGAAATTGCTGAAAAAATTGTGTAGATGTAAGTTGCTGAGTAAATGTAAAAGAAAAAAGACTGCCAAAAACAAGTAAATAAAAATATGAATATCCTCTCATAAGAAGAAATTAACAAATAATAAAAAATACATAATAATGTAAATATCGTGGAGACACAGGGGCTGGTTAGCGACAATTGGTGATTTTGTGCACAACTTCGGTATAGTTTTGACAAGTGTGATTGAATCAATGGAAACGACTACATTTATTAGCTTACCTCATGGTATTCTTTATTCTTAAGTACTTTACTGACAAACTTTTGGAGTCGTTAAAATTCATAAAGTCAATATGTAGCAATCAACCCATTTGTGGGGTAGGTTGGACACACGCCTTGGAGTAGATTGACTTTTGCATGGTGTAGATTATGCCCTCTACATCCGTGAAAGTATAGAGCAATATATCAATGTGAAATGAATAATTTTCAATATTTTATTTACACAAATAAAAGCAAACACATATATCACCGTTGTATTTGCATAACAGCATCGGCAACGTTAGCACTCTAGGTAATTTGAAAAAAAATAGTATTTACAAATCAATTTGATTTGATTTAAAATCCACAATGATTTTGTGAGTCTTTTACCTATTTTTAATAAAAGTTACATTTTTGGAATATTGAATAGAAAACCTCATGAACCTATGAATGATACTTTACACTTTAGCAAACTAAACATTAATCGTTCTTAACAAAAAAAGTTGGAGCCCTTTCATGAGCACTGAGTGCAATTTGTTCTTTTCGTAAGAGGAAAGACACGGATGGAGCCCTTGCCCCTGAGACGGTGCCTAACCCACAAATTGCGTTCGTAGTTTTCATGAACGACTACTTTTTAGTATGCACTATTGTAATAAAAAAATTGAAAGTGGTCAAGCGGAAGAGGAGGCTAAATGGACCGAGACTCACCATCAATAAAGACATATATTTACTTATTTATTTATCCCGCTACCTACGAGCGGCAGGAAAGCCCAAATTGTAATCCCAGAGCAAAAATGAGACCTGCGAGGTTTCAACTATGAATATTTACGCTGTCGTAGTACGAAGTTCATTAAAAAATTTGGAGCCATTTTTGAGAAATTTTGCAAAAGTTGAGGCTTTATGTTGAGTCCCCCCCATAAAGAATCAAAACATTTGTTTCAAACTCGACGGGTCTCGAGTTTGTTCAAATCGATTGGAGTATATCAATTTTGGAGAAAACCGTTTGAACGGTTTAGGTGCTGGTGTTTTATCGCAGCCTCCGGACGGACCGACCTACAGACCCACGTTTTGCCGTCAATCCAATTTTTAGGTACCAAGGACCCATACAACATGAATTCTGACTTCACAAAGTGTTAGAGGAAATAATTTACTGCTTACAGAAATAAGATTTATCCACGTTTTCGTTTCCAGGGACCAGTAATAAGAGATTAAATTTAAAATTCTAAAGCTTAACTTCTCTACATCTTTAGATTTCGGTTCCAAAGATTCGGAAATGGCCTGCGTTTCCAAGTCCTTGAATTCATGACTCAAAATACGTCACTGCATCATCTGAAAATGCTTATGATTGCGGAAAGCGTTGTTCTGAGACCTTTCCGCATTCTGAAAATTTGCTCTATGTGATTGTAGAGCAGTGGTAGTATGTTATTAGCACATGAGGGGGAGGCAACTGTCTCCAAACAACAATAATGAGTATTATAATTATAAAATTGTCTTTTTTAGTAGCGAAGCCTTCCGCCTTACCACAAATCACCTAACCAACTACCCAACAAACCGCCTAACCAAAAATCGCACGTATAATATCTGTTCAGAATATTTTTTGAACGAGAGCGAAGAAGAGTGTACAGTCTATTTACAGGCACAAGCCCCGTCTCAGAAAACGTGTACTTAGATAACGGAAGATAAAATTGTGCTCTCGAAAATAGTTTTTTAATCCTGATTCCAGCAAGCAGAACGATAATTATGCTCGGGTTCTCTACATATGAAAGCAAATAATAGTCGGTGTTTTTATCCTTATTAATACGTGCATAAGCACTATCGCATGTAGCGGCATTCGGTAGAACAAACTCCGCTCGAAGCTACCCTACGAATCGTACTAGCAACTTGTGGCATCTAATCAACTTCCAGTCCTACAGCCTTCCACATGAATTCATTGTTTTGCATGCTACTGCCGAGGCACAAATCAAAAGACCACCCATTTTAAAAACATTGATAATTCGCTTGTGTCGGCGCCTGAAAATATATTCGTACTCAAAACGTGCATTGGTGTATTTTTAATTTTTGTTTATTTGTTGCGTCTACATAGACGCAACGCGTCTCCAAGCCATTTGGGGGGCATTAAGCGCATTACGCTTAGAATAATCCTCCATTAATATAGTGCTCTTATTATGAGTAATCCTCCATTACCAATATAACATGTCACGTCATGTCGGAGTCAGTAGGACCGCCAGGTAGTATCTTCGCGTACGTGCTCCTACAACGCGCTCCTGCGTCACTACCCAGCGACCAGAATTCGGAAGGAATAAGGATAGGGCTAAGGTTTACGACACTTCACATTGGTTGGAGTAGCCCCTGTGAAGCAGTGGGCTTTCCACAACCAGGATACCTGGCCAGCGGGGCACCGCCCCAGCCGGGACAAGCTCTAAGCTCCCGACCGGTCACCTGGCATGTGTAGTAATTTACTTTGTGACATGTTAGTGTATGTGTGAGGGGTGAGGATAGGACAAGAAAGAGGAAGGTGAGGTCGCACGTTGCCCGTTTGTTAGGGTACTGCTCCGGAATTCGCCTGGTGTATACCGGAAAACCACCGAAAACTACCGATCAGAACAGCTAGAATTCTCCTCCAGACAGCGGATGAAATCGGCCTAGCTAACAGGCTAGTGTCGAAAATCCTGCCAAAGCGATTCGAACCTAGGACCTCCCGGTCAGAGGAATTGCAGTGACATCAGTCCATGCCCTTAGCTATCTCTCCCGGTGAGTAGGTTTCAGTAAAATTGAATCGTTCTCTTACGTTTCCTGCGATTGTTTTTGTGGAGGTCTCTGTTTTAGTGTTCTCAAGGAGCAGTTGCCACTATTAACAATCATTTCTGACTCGCAGAATTAAAATGTCCACATATGACCGCTATTCCATTTCGTTTACATCTACCTTGGAACACAACTTGTGACATAACTACGTATGTAAAAGACGTGAATTGGTGCTGGTATCTATTCAATTTAGCAGTTTTCTAAGCATATATTGCACTAATCACAAATCGGTTATTTTGGATGACTAATACAGCAGTGGTGTGTCCTGGCTAATAAGAATGAGGATTCAATCATGATACGGGATAAACAAATAGTTCAATATCTAAAAGCCCCCCTTTCTTCATTACTACGTAGTATTGCAAGAGATTATTTTACAAATTAGATACCTACTGTACCTTGGTTGAGAATTTCCCGTTGTTTCTTATATCCACAGACTGCCATAAACAAAACAACAAAACAATAAACATAAACCAAAAAATAATGAACCATAAAAACAGTACATTCCTAATTTTTGAATTCAATGGAGAAACGTCAGTGTTTTCTGCCAGATTTGTTAGTTACGTCCTCTGGAATTTGAGAACCCTTCCGAAAATCACCTAAAATAACGCGCCCAATTTGTATTCATGTTAAAGTTGAGTCTTTCCTGGCCCTTTCTTCAAACATGAAAATGACATCTCTGCGGTTGCCATTGCAACACGAAGAGGTAGAACAATTCAATAAGTTAGATTTTCTCAGGGAAACTAGGGCATTACGCATCGAATTAACATACTTGTGCAAATCTACTAAAGAATGTTTCCTCATATACGTATCCACGTGGACATAAGGCTTTGGTTGTCTGACACTACTTTACATTTCTATGAATATAAGAGACGCAGATTGTACTACGCTTTCTTCAGCACAGCCAGAGTGTTCATTACTATTGCTTCCCATGCGTCATGAATGTATGCTTCTAAGTATTTAATAAAGTCTGAGAAGAATTATCAAAATAGAGAGTTGTATTATAAATGAAATATTCTTAAGACGCTACTTCATATTATTTAAAACTTTCTACCCAGAAAACAATCAAATTGTTAAATACCATTTATTTCCAAACATCATAGACATTGAGATTGAGACAGTCACTGATAACCTCAAGAACTTCTCTATTTCGCTCTACTTGGCGTTTGAAGGAGAATTCAGTATAATGACTGCTGTGCGCCTACCTCGCATTGGCAATTTACCGGGAGGAATAAATCCCCGGGGCACCTTGGCTGTTCGCTCAATTCACACTTCTCGCAGGCGCACAAGTCCGCCCTTGGTCCGACATCTGGATCCCACCAGAACGCAGTCTTTCCTCTCGGTAACCTCCCCGTACAATGCCTGGGTCAGACCTCCCTGCCACCTCAGTGCGTCTTGCTTTGCAGGCTAGAGCCGGAGTCAAGTGAATGCGCCACTCACATGCGCCGGGAACTAGTCCCTCCACTTTGTCCAGAGTACTGGGCCATTGCCACGACGAAGCAGAGTGCCCAACCGGGGGCCACCCAAACTAAGGTTCGGGCGGCTTGGGGCCCCCTTCCCGTCTTCCCACTGTCTACACCTTTAGGCTAACGGCGTGAGTATCGCCAGGAACCTAGGCAACCTGACAGGTCATTTCCCGCCGAACGTCTATACATGGATTCCAGAGTATTCCGAAGAATCTCCTTCACCCGATCCTGCCCGAAGGACGGCACGCCGTAGACCCGACAAGTGGGTCACCGAGAAACCCAATAACCAGGAACTTAGCATCGCCTACTGACTGCTTCCACCTTGAAGCTATCGACGTGAGTGTCGCCGTGAAACTTAGAGATCGTCAACAATTCTTAACCAGAGACCGTGCCCAGCATACACGATATCTCCCTGCGGGGGGAGGAGAATTCAAACGGCCGGGTATTTTAATAGGTTGTTTTCTGTGATTTCTCTGATCAACAGCAGGCAAATGCTGGAACTTTACCCTAACAAACGGGCCACGGACCATGCGCGATCTTTCTTCCCTCTTCTTTGTCCTATGCTCTCAGTTTACTTACACACATACATCGCGCCATGTACCAGAGAAAGCACACTGCCACCTTCCGGGATTAAACACATGCGCTGCACTTACGAGACAAGTAACCCTAGCCGTTGACGCGCCCGAAAACATGACAATCAATCAATCAAATTTGCTGTTTTACTGACGCTCTGATAACAGCTGACCTTGATCTTAAGTGCGCTCTGGCAGGAAGCGCGGCTCAAGGGTTTGTAGTTAACGCGGTTAGAGAGACTTTGTAGTAATACTTGTCATTATCTAGGGACGAGAAATTCATGCGAATTGTGTGGTGATGTCAATGTGCAGTTGAACACTGATGAGGACTATCTCGTGAGAGAGGAAACAATGTACGAACTTGCTTGTACAATTGTAGTTCTTCCTACCCTATCAGTGTGAGGGCACTTCCATCCTTCCGTCTGTTTGGGATTCCTCCCCTTTCCCCTCCCCTCACTGCCCATTGGCCGGCCGCAAGCGTGCCCTCCTGAGCGCGTGGTTGGATTAGCCTCTTCACAGGGGCTAGCCCAAACCCTGTGAAGAGTCCTAAACCTTGCCCTATGCCTATTCCTTCCCAATTCTGGCCGATGGGTAGATGACACGGCGCGAGCGCGAAGACGCTACCTGTCGGGGATTCCCTGACTTGACTGCGGCTGACGTAACTACCACCACACAGCGGCCCCTAGAAGGCGCTTGTTACGGAGGTTTACTCCATTACTGTAAATCTTAATGGAGTAAACCTCCACCATTAATTATCAATATTAACGGAGGATTACTGCATAGTGCGCTCAACCCACCTTAAGGGGCTAGGAGACGCGTTGCATCTATACAGACGCAACAAATTCAAATTTAAAAAAGCGTGCTCTCCTGAGCGTCTTCAAGCGAGTGTTGGGTCACTGACTTCCCACACTTTTTGTTTAGTTCATTGATTTACGAGAATAAACCATTTTTAATTTCAAACTTCCAAAGGTGCTTCCACAGTAAAATAAATTTCGTGTATTTGCATGACAAATATTAATTTGAACTTTTAAAACAAGTTTTTAGAAGTGCTAAAAAAAATTAAAAACTGATTTGCACGATAATTTCTATGTTCGATTTAAAACCATACCAAAATAAAGAGAACTATATTCCTTTTCTCACGCATAAGAAAATTACGGAGACCACTACATACCATTATAATACCAAATCAGGATTTTGCAAGCAGTCTGATGTCATCACAACTACATTTTCTTCATAGTTCGATCACACGGCCTATATCGAGGTTGTGAACCGTAGGCGCTCGTGGAGCAAGTGGATTGTGTAAAGTTGACGGGACTTTTTTTTTTTACAAAAAGTAAACAGTTCTGGATGGAGAGAACACGATTTAGTTCTGTATAGAGTTCTTTTTATGATTGCGTGTTAGCGTAGAGAGCTCTTTAAAATAAAATCTTATAATTTTAACACTTAATTATTTTCAATGTTAAGAGCAAATTTAAGTTCCCATTAGCGAGCACTTGAGGGGAAGTATGGATTACGTAAATTCCGTTTAGTGTTCTGGATAGCAGGTAAAGTGTTCTCAAGAATATCCCAATGCATTGTTTTCATAAAATTATCATTTTCTAAGTTATAGAAAAATATTCTGATCTTTTTTGTTATTAAGAAGGTGATAATTTGTTACTTCTGCGCGACTTTTCATTAGAGTTCTGAGTAGTGTGTAAAGTGATCTGAAGAATATGCTAAAGAAATTTTATCATTACGAGAATAGTTTGATAGTCACAACAAATTCACATAATTATAGATGATCTTTGTAATTGTATTACAATTTAATTAGAGTTGCATGAGCACTGCTTAGAGTTCTAGGCAGGGGATAAAGGGTTTTGAAGAATATGCTAATGAACGTTTCTCATAGTATGCATATGTAGAAAATAATGATAAATATAAAGTACGTTTTGTGAAATAAAGATAATTTGTCATCAAGTGAAGGAAAATACAAATCATTTAATCTTGTTAATTGGAGTTTTGTTGTACAACAATTTACCATAATTTATTCTTTTAGAAACAGGACAGATACATTCCATTTATATGTTGTGACCCATTTTTGGGACAATGTTGGGAATGCCTTACTGTTTTAAATTTATTAATGCTTTAAATAATTAATTACTGAATTGTTAATATGTATAATTTTACAATAAGCGTTACCTCATTATTTACATCTACTATGTAACTTCAGCTTACTTTAAAAAAACAATACTTTTTTTCAGCTTCTGCATAAATCTTTTTCTAGTTGTTGATCTCCTTGGATGTTGCTGCGTCTACATTGTTTTTGTTTCTGAGAACTTAAAGCAGGTAAGAACATTTTTAATAGTTATAAAATCTCTTAACATAGGTTCAGCCACTTCTTATTTTAAGAGTCAGTCTTTAGGACTCATCATTACCTCTGAGGTTTTGAGGAGGAGGCGTAAAATATCAACTCGCTGAAGAACATTTTAACCTCTTTACTGAATATCCAGAAGCGTGTGTAGTACTATCATTAATTATTTGATTAGCTAGTCGTAATAAGATAATAATGTAGACAAGATAGTATAATATTTGTCGGATAATATATTTTGATTCAATTATATTTTAAAATAGCTATCGGGAGGCGCAGTGGTCTTCGTGTGGTGGCCATACGATACAATTCACTTCAATATTTTATCCATTATTTTAAGAGAGGGAAAGAATCCTAAATTTGATTTTCTATTCAGAAAGTGGTGCCAAACAATATGTTAAGAAAAGTTCTTGACGCGACTGATATTTTAAGAGAAAAATGTATGTAGTACATAATAGAGTATACTGGAACTCAGTAGTAAAAGCAAAGCCACACAACAGAACTTCACTAATAGTTTATATTTTCTGTTTATATGAATAAAATTACAAGAAACAAGATAAAAACTAAATCTGCATTGAGATCCAAAGTGTCCTCAACATTACGGACAAACAAAAATATAGAATACAACTCATTTACGGTCTCAAAAACATATTTTCTATGTTTGGCAAAGAGAGCAAAATAGTCATGTATTGCATAGGATATAGATAGTGTTTTTTAAATTTATGTTCAATTTAAAAACAATGAAGAAAACTTCGATGTTTTAATATTTGCAGGCTAAGTATATTATAACAATGCTAACATGATACAGTATACCTGTGTTATAGGGAGGAAATGCATTTGAATATCTTCAACAATACGATCATGCATATTTGGTTGTAAAATCCATGTTTAAGGTTCTTTTTGGCTGTAACAGTGAATACGCAATAGGAGCCTATTACTCATGCTCCAAAGATTGCTGTAGGTCCCAGTCAGAATTAACCGCTCTTATATATTCCAGCATCCATATATATTCCACCATCCAATGAAAGTTGGCTCATCTACGTGTTTCTTTTCACACAGGAGGATTATGTGTTGTTAAGCTTGTTGTAAATGCACTATTATGGCGCTGTAGAACAAAACTAGATATACATGTCAAATGCAACTCTCAACACGCCGCCGCATTTTCGAATCTATATAATTAATAACTCCTAAACGAAGCGTTGTAGGTCATTAGAAATTAAAATTTTGAGGCCAAAGAAACGTCTCTCAATCCGTACTATACAGAATGAGATCTTCTTGAATATATAATTACATTTGTGCTTGTCCTACGCTTCTCAATATTACCCCTCCCGCACAGAGACGAGCAGAATCTGCCACGAAATGTGAATGAGAGGGACAAACATAAGGACTAGGAAGGTAGGAGGTGTTAGGTCGGGAAGTGGGAGGCCCACGTTACCTCGCAACAATTTTTTGATCAATCATTACTTATTTGACTCAGTTTAACACGTTACTCCGAATATGGCCAATTTTACTTTAAAAACATAGAAATAGACACTTCAAATTGCTATAGATCCGTCAATTTCTATCCAAAATACTTTTGATTTAGATAAAATTAAAGCTTAAAATCTCTGCTTTAAGAGCTTTGCTTCATACAATTTAACTTTTAACTGCAATCGGCTAAAATTACGCCGCGCGCTATCACTGATAACAACCCGCGTTCGAGTCACACCACTGTTATTAATTTCTTTATTCGCATTAAAAGTTTAAAAAAATAACATTGCAAATATTTCTTAGACAAACTTGTTTACGTATTTTTTTAAATCATCATGATTTCATTTAAAATTAGCTAATTAATTTTGACGAACATTTTTAAAATAAATAATCTGTCTTTTATAATTACGTTGTATGGAGATTTTATAAAACATTGCACTTTTCGTGATTTCAGAGGTTGTAATTTAACCCTTGCTTTTTTCAATTCAATTCAATTCAATTCATCGATGCCACATTTAACGTGGTAAGACTCAGGTCATCAGGTTTGCTCCTCCGTCTGAACGCAAGTTTTGCTGCGCTCATTTCACCATCAAGCAAAGAAATAATGTATCATTCGGGCGACGAAACAAGCGATTTGAGTTTAGCACAGCGGCTTCTTTTAGCCTTGAGGATCTTTTACATACGGTAAATCTACATGGCCCAGCTGGCTTTACTTCCCCTTCGCAGGAAGGCGTACGAAGAATTTTTCGCCCTTAAAAGTCCTCCTTTTTGCTTTCTTCGACTCGAGCAAATAAAAAAGAAAGTAAAAAATTTAGAGTATTTTGGAGAAAATTTTGAAAATGTCCTGCAAGCTCCTCCAAAAATTAAAATATCTTTTTTTTAAATTATCAGTTCTCCATATTTTCTGTGCTTATTTTTGTTTAATTCCATTAAATTGGATTTACAACCTTCATCTTTCTCCATAAAACCCAAATAAGTTCTCGAAGATCTCTAACACTAATTATACAAATATCCGCAAAAGAAAATGAAGGAAGAAGCGAATTAATATGTACTTTCTTTAATTATTTGTACTGTTTTACAGGTCGTGGAATTCTATACCGGGGAACATTGGAAAATACAAGTTTTCATGGGAATTCTTGCTCCTCTTCTTGTTCTTTTGAATTTAGTACGCAATCTTAAATGGCTGGCTCCATTTTCTATGTTAGCAAATTTACTCATCGCCACTAGTCTTGGTATTACATTTTATTACGTATTTTCTGATCTACCATCAATTACAAATAGTGGCTTGCCGAATTTTTCTTCAATGGCCCAACTTCCACTGTACTTTGGTACTGTTATCTTTGCTCTTGAAGGAATTGGAGTGGTAAGTAAATATTCATTTATTACAAAAGCAAAATATTAAAAAGAATATACATATATATAAATTGTTTCTTTCGTTAATTTTAGGTCATGCCGCTCGAAAATAATATGAAAACTCCTACACACTTTATTGGATGTCCAGGAGTACTAAATATTGGAATGGCAGTTGTAGTAACTTTGTATACTACAGTTGGTTTCTTTGGTTACTTAAAATATGGAAGTGATACAATGGGTAGCATTACTCTGAACCTACCACCCCAGGAGAAGTGAGTATTTAAAAATAATGCTTAATTTGAACAATTTATTTCACTTTTATATAGCTATTGAATATCATTTCTTGTAGTGTATTTCGTTTTGTTTGACTATATCAATTTGTTTACCACAAAATCTAAATTGAAATATGTATTGCATTATGAACATTTAGCAGTGTCATTAAAGTAGAAGACATTTTTAAAATGGTGTAAAATTATCTATTACATTTGTTTATGAAAAATCAAATTAGTGGGAGACGAGAGTGTAATTATTTTGCGCTACCTTAAGCGTTGACGCCAGACCGCAGTGATGGAAATATCTTGGAAACGCAGTCATGTGGAAATCTTTCTTACGATTCTGACAAAAATTGGCTGTTAGTAGAGGTTGCCGCTTAAACAAGATTATGTGATCACGGGAAACGTATGGCAGGTGTCGAGTTTACAGTTTTAAATGAAATAAAGTTTTTTTTTATAAAAGTCGTTTTAATTACTTGAAACTACAAAAAGGCACACTACAATTAATTCTAAAGTACAGTCAAAACTGTTCATGAATGGAATTTACTCATTCGTAGCGTAGCGAAATTTGCGTGGTCAGACGGAAGAGCGGGCCTGATGGCCCGAGTCTCGCCACGTAAAATAAGGCAAATTCAATTCAATTCAATTCAATTCAATTCAATTCAATTCTTCCCCCAAAAATATCTTGCATGCTTGTTTGTTTTGTAAGAGACGTACTAGAGAAGAAGTACAATATGTGAACACAAATATACTTGAATTATGAAGGAGAATTGAATTATAAAAGAAGATTGAATCAATCCTCCTTCATAATCCACCATTATTGTAAGCGTGCATTCCTCAACTAGCACAAATAAAAATAGAGTAAAAAAGAGTATTTTGGTGAAAAGTTTGAAGATGTCCTACGAATCTAGTGTAAAGAACCTCAAAACATTAGAATTTATTTTTTTAAATTATCAGTACGCCATATTTTTAGCTTATTATTGTTTAATTTCGTTAAAATTAATTAGATTTACTAATGAATGAGGAATAAAGATAGCAAAGAGCAAAAACGATCTTGCTAGTTATGTCCAGTATATAGTGGACTGGAGTGTCAGTCAAAGGAAAATAAAAACAAAATGTCAAATTATATTTGGATTTAAACATAACTGCACTTAACGTAAATCAGCTGTTACGGTGTCATCCAATCTGGATGTTGAACGCCACCAAAGGATGACAGTGTAGTGACGTGTAAGCTCCCGATTGGATGACACCGGAACAGCTGACGACCTGCCATGTGCAGCTCTTAAATATATCGAAGTAAAGAGATAATTAGAAATGAATTAGAACTAACGTATCAACTTATTATTTTAATAATGTTTGTCACTATGCATTAGCTCAAAGCGAACTTTAATAAATCTATCTATCATATTCAATCTTTTAGAATTTTCCAGTCCACATTGTAACTCAAACATTAAATATCATAGTTAACATCAATAGTATTTTTCTTTTTGATGCTCAGCAGTGTCACTGATTATATAGAAACAGTTATTTTCTAGAAAATAATACTTTTCATTCAAATTTGTGTATCGATTTTGTTCGTTTAATGTCATCTGACAATGTATTGTTAAATAATGTGTATGTATGATAGTGAGCTGTTGATAGTGACAACTATGATGAATATACTACGTCGAGTGATGACAGCAGTAGATATCTCTACTGGCTGAAAATACGTGTGTATTAATCCCTGAGTAAGTTATTTTTGACAAAAATCACTGACTCGTAAATCAGGAGACAAGGCAATGGTAAAATTCGTAACTTAAAAAAAAGCTTGCAAAAATCACTTGGGTGGAATTTGCGTATTATTTGAACAATTATTTTTTAAAAGCCTTGAAGCTCCAGAATGTGTTTGCCCAGACTATTATGCCATTATCTCAGGCGGGACGGAATATTGGCAAAATATACACAACAGTTAGCATAAAGGATGACAGAATTTAAAAGAAATCTGAATACGTAGCATAATGAACTTAATTTTTATTTCTGTTTATTGAAATGGACCTTCCATTTCAGATTTGATTGAATGAGAGAGGCAAAAATTTGGTTTCCTTATCAGTCAATGTCACGTCTTGTTCATGGGAATGAACAACAGTTTAATTGAAATCGAAAACTGCTTTGAACCCTTTTCCCCTTCGCTTACTATTAAGTTGTTATTACGAAACCAGTTTGAAACATTTTTATTGCAGTATTTACTGTTTCTTTTGTAACACCTCCCGGCGTAGGGAAACGCGCGGTTAGCGGCCCGGTTCTAGCTCAGTCGGGTTCCGCTACTCCCATATCTATAAAACTAGCCAATTGTAACAATTTCTTGAACTTAAGATTCAGGAATGGAAAGGCATTGTAAGCAAGCATGCATGGGCACGTCAAAATAAACAATTTGATTACTGGTAAAAGACAACCGTTTATTCTGGACAGGGCTGTCCAGGGAAGTTTACATCGATGAAAAGAAAAATTGTGAATAAATAAAATAAAAATTAGCATTAAGATGAACTTACAAGCTAAAGAAGAGTGTACAAAATTATTCTATAGCTACATTACAAATTTGTCCCTGAGGATCTTTCTGTGTCAGCGCGGCACCGTTAACATATCCTTAAGGGCCTTTATTGGACCCTGATTAGCGTCTGCCTGGAATACCCACCGTGGCAGATGATGATCAAGTAGGCCGTGCAAAGCGCGACGGGAGGGCTTTGTGGGGGGCCGGGGGGTCCTTCCAGGAATGCGGTCGGGGCGCACCTCGACCAGCAGGGCGTCGGCGGACGGCTGGCGGCGGCTAACGGAGGTTCAGTGACGCTCAGGGAAGGGCCGTTCTTGGAGGCTGCTTTCGGCGGAGGTTGTAAGGTGCCGCGAGGTGTATTGTCCCGTCGATTACAGTGCGGGAGCACACAAACATTGTCTCACGCGAAGCATCTTGGCGGGGTTTTCCTTCTCGAAAAATTTCAGCGATGCCGAAATTTGTAGCTAATAAGCAGTGGGCAAAGAATTCGCCTATCCCCGTAAGTGCCTTTGGCACTTCTCTCGTATAAAACTCAAGTGAATGCCAATCCTAGAGGGTTGCTCACCTCTGTCCGGAATGCATGCCCTGGAGGTGCACTCAACCTTTCTCTCCGCGACCGGGCTCCCACCCAGAGAAAGTCTCTCTCTCCTAATGTCATTTTACTTCTGCCTAACGCCAACGAGTTACTTTTAATCCCCCCTTTCTTCCTCATATGTTCTTGGCTCCCCTACAAAGATCGCTTCGCTATTTGGGCTAAAGGTGATGGCGTTGGTCACTAAATTTTGTCCAATAGGGTCCGGCGGAGTAAAGGATTTTCCGTTCTCTGTTTGAAAGTAGGTACGTCTCTGAAGGGTGCTTCCACGGCTACTGAATTTTGCTTCGCGGTTATCTCGATCACGATGACAGGCTTTTCGAAGTATTCCAGATCATGGGCTCACGCTGGCGCTTTTACAGTTTACCCTTTGTTCGGTTGTTGGGTGGGGTGTCATAAACCTTCGAAATGGGTCAGGGGACCGTGGCTGTTGCACGAAGGGGGCTGCGCACGTGACGCCGTATGTTTTTTTCTTCAGTACAAACTTTCTTAGGTCTGCTTTACTCAATTGAATTTATCTGAATAATTCTGTACCGCTACACTTTATTATAAAGATTCTATCATCAGCAAAGAGAACTGTTCTTCCGTTTCGAACCGACGACGGAATATCGTTTACGTGTAGTAGGCAAAGAATAGGGTTCACAGCCGAATCCTGCGGGCTCCCCAGTGGTTTTGGCATTGAATGGGAAAGAGTAGTAAATAATGTCCCTTCATTCCAGTACAGGATTTATATTCCTTTATAGTTGTTTAAACATATGAACATAACCACTCTAGAGCACTACCGCGAATTATATGTAAAGATAATTCACGTGTGTTGCTTAAACAGACCGCCGTCCCCTCCTCAATTAGAACAAGTGTCTCGTGTCTCATTTTGCGGAGAAACTCTTCGTTACTAGCCAGCAGTTTCTTGACGATTTTTCTCTATAAATTCCAGAAAGTTGTATTTAAAGGCGCTGAGGTCATATAGTGTTTACGGATACAAAGGACAAAAATCTTTTTTATGTAGACGGAATTGGGATGCATACAACGACAGACCTATATCGCGTCCGCTCGTAGGTCTTCAGAACCAAAGCCCTCCAGCCATCCGCCAGAACTACAGTGCACTCGTCCATAAATGACGATAATGACCTTGTAAAATCTACAACAGGTCTTCGAGTTTGGGAAATGCATACAAACTTCTATTACAGGCAGCTACAAAGTTGGTAAATTACAAAAAAATAAAATAATAATAATAAAATTGGTAGGAATCTATGCTCTTGAAGCCAAAACGACAAAGAAATCATTTGTTGTTAAAATTATGAGGTACGCATCGGTGTATTTGTTGGCATAAAATGATTCACCTGTAAATGCGTGCAAGTTGGTATGAGCACGAAAAAGAATACCGCTGTGCATACGGAGGGGGTTTATTTCAAAGCATCATGCACTCACACTACTCATTTAACTCAAGAAAGACTTGCGTGAACACAGCAAAAAAATCATTATGTAGTTTTAACACATGTATCATTTATTAGAAATTAGTTACATTTTGATTACATTTAGGCTGAAAATCGCGGTGCAAAAGTTACTCTTGATATCTCTTCCTACCATACCCGTTTCAACTGTCCGAACCAATTTCCCGTTCATTTCAGTGTTTTCATTGGCAGTGCTTCTGCTTTGATCCAGTCACGCGTCTTGCTAGTTTAAGTACGTCATTACGTTCAACGACGAGTCTATTGTTCCATTAATTCAACAATCTTTTCGTAAAGTACAATCCGTTTCGTAATTAATCACGCTAAATTTCGAAAAGGGTTCGTGCGTCATTTCAACAATTTTAGTAAAAGTCCTGTCGATTATTCAGTCGTACGCGCTTCCCTCAATAGCCTAGTACTTCGCTTTCGATAA